ATATTGCCTGAGGATTATGTCACTGTGAACAAAAAACAAAAATGCATAGTGAAAACCGAGCAAGTCTGCGTTAGTTGTTTCTCTCTTACTGTCCCAGTCAGAAGGCAGTACATCACAGGAGGTACGCGTGGTGGAGTAAACTGCTCTCTGCATAGAGGCTGGAAAGCAAAGCAAGAAAGAGGAGGAGGCCAGGGTGCTATAGTCATTTAAAATCTTCCAGCAGGGTCCATCTCATGGAGGTTGTATTCCACCTAGAAGCCACCCTAAGGACCATGCCTTCAATACACAGGCCTTTGTAATACATTACAGACCCACACCATGGCAAAGTCTAGCCTCAGCTGAGCAGAACGCAATTCCTGGAGGATACCTGCAAAGAAGACAGGCAGAATAGAAGACGGTAGTGGATTTCCTCATCAAACAAGAAATTCTTTGGCTTACTGTGTGCCTGGAAATCGAGAGGAAATTCCCCAGAGACCCAGCTGGTGGAAATGAGGACCAAATCCATCCCCTCTAGCCACTGCCTAAAGAGAAAGCATGGATGCTTCAACAAAACTCACAGAATACATAAACCGCGGCCGTATTACCTAACAGAGCTCATAGGCATGTTTTTTTCTTGAAAAGTAGTTTTAAAATATTCACATCACACATGATGTCTTGGAGCACCTTTTTATGGGCATGCTCTTCTCTCCACCACAATATTCTTAACTCTGTAAGACATATGTCAAAAACTAAAAACAAACTCAGCTCTAAAATGTTTTATTTGGCTCCCGCTCCCAGTCTCTCATTTTCTATAATTTGTATAATAGCTTTTATTTTAATAAACCAATGCAATGTATAGGTCAGGACTCATCATTTGTTGAAAAGACTTTTAATCTTGATTTTTACTTGGAAAATGTCTAAAGTTCTTCCCAAATGATGATTTCTATAGATAAGCTCACAGAGGTTTCTATAAGCTACAGAGGTTGCAGTGCTTGTAGGTTTGTGTCTGTGTGACTGTTTTTAAGTACGGTATTGACCTGCTACTGCAGCATACACCTCTGGGATGTTACGGTTTATCAGGCAGAGGCCCCATTATGGGTGGTATTATTACTGTGAGAATTCAGATCCAGGTCCTCTTCCCTACAAGCTCAGAAATAAAGCCCATAGAAGTTTCTGCAGCATTAAAAGTAAAGATGTTTGTCTCAAATTAAAATGTGTAATTTGATTCCTAGATGAAAATAACTATATGCGCTGAACTTGGAATCTCTGGAAGTTGTGGGGATTATAGTGCATAATCCACGGGAGAGAGATAAAAGGATCGAGGTGCTCTCCCAGGACACATTCCCTGCACACTCCTCGACCTGCTGGTCTCTTCCCTACTGGTCTTCCACACATGGTCTGCATTATCACTGCAGGGTCTGGACACCATAAAGAATAGTAACATATAAAGGAAATGGTTTTAAGAAGATAAGCAAAAGTAGTTTCACAAAAGAAAGCCAAATGCCTCTGTTCACTGTTGTTGTTTAGGGAAGGAAAGAAAAATGGAAAATGGCTTTTATTAACAATAAGCTTTCTGAACACTGAAAATTCATTTGCACATTTGCACATTCATGAAAGAAATGTTTGTGAACTTTGGGGCCCTTGCTAGACAATTATCATACGCTACTTTGTTCAGGAAGCATATGTGCCCTTTCCATCTGGATGAAGGCTTTTGGAGAGGAGCTGCAATGACTTTTGTTTGATATGCAGGGCATTAAGAGTATACATATACGATCAAATCCTGTCCTTATGACATAATAGATATATGACCTTTGGCAGAGTCGGTTACTGCTTGGAGCATCAATTTTCTTCTCAGTAAATGGTATAATAAACTATACCACAGAGAGTAATGAGAAAATATTCTTAAGGATTAAACAAATATTCATAAAGCACAAAGAACTATGCCTGCAATATAATAAGCATTAGATAAGTGTTTGCTAAAGAAAAATATATGGAGGCAATACAATAAAAGTGTGTTTGAGACAATACAATAAAAGTGTGTCCCACTCAGTTAATCAACATGCCATTGCCTTTTAAAATGATTATCTGATGCCTTAGGACCCCAAGTGTTCACGGTTATTTGGTCACTCTCTTGTTTATTCCTTCTCTCATCAGAAGAATGGGTTGCTTATCAGGACTGGGTTATGTCTGTTCCCTGGTGGGTTTCTGACACATTTACTTTGTTATTACTTATTCAAATCTTATTAGTAAACTTATTAAATACACATTCAGAAAGAAAATTTTAAGGAGAATCAGGTCAAAGGCACTAGTGAACCATGATAAAGAAAAGTCTTAGATTGGGTGTTAATGAAGCAACTGGAATATTTGGAGGAATAATCATAGAAATCTGGAAAGGTTTTAATGCTGAAAATTGTTTTTTATATGTGAGTATCTTTATGTTCTGGATCCACTAACTACAAACTGAAACTAGAAATTGTAGACAGTGTATCGTGGGTATGATCTGTACAAGAAAGAAAATAGAATTCCAAGGAAACAACACATAGTAAATACCAACACACAGTAAATACCAGTGCTCTATAGCAAAGGTTTGACAAATTATATGAATTTGTGTATTAGAAACTAAAACAAAAGATATTTAATAAATATCTGTCATTTTAAATGGATATTTGGATAAGTTTTCAGTGCCAGGTAAGAGATATTGAAGGGAGATTTCTGGAATTTGGTTTAAATCTAGGCTCTGGCACTACCAACTCTGAAACTTTGAGAAAATAACATTTCTTTTTCTAGAAGTTAAGCTTGCTATTTACAAAGTAGAGCACTGATTGTTCTTAAGAGGTTATTGGGGAGATTCACTATAATATTGGATCAAAAGGAAGTGCTCAGCACAATGCCCAGCATATGGTAGCTATCGGTCACTGCTACTACTGTGTTTTCCTGAATTCTTTTCATCACCTAACTTAGCATCTTGCACACAGTTGTTACGGAGCACATGTTCCTGGTTTTTAAGGTAATGATGATTAGATCATTCAAGAAATAATTACCGAGCATTCCTGTTCATCAAACACAAAGATAAGATGAAAACACAGTCAGGAATTAAGACATGGTTCTGTGCCCCTTTTCAGAAGTCTTTGCATTAGCCAGCTGTTAAATTAAGTTACAATAAAGCTGATCAATTTTGATCTTGTCTTGTGCTTTAACAGTAAATAAGAAAAAAATCTAATATTGATGATGATGGATAAGGATCTAAGAGTTAAGTGTTTTTGGAGATATTCATCCTTTTGCTCAATAAACATGAGTTTATCAAGATATATCCTACAGAAAAATTGAGTTGAGATGGATAATAACCACATGTAAAGTAGTAATGCTAAGGAAATATATAGTAGAGAAACACAGAAAAAGGAGAGAAATTATAGAAAATCCGTGTGAAGATACGTTATCTCTCTAGGTAGTTCTACCATATTTTATCCATACAGAATATAAACAGTCTGCCTATAAAATTACACATGATATTAAATAGGATAAGTTCTTATAAGTTGATATAGTATGTGTTATGGATAGGAGCATAGATTTCACATAAGAAAACTGCAGTTCTAACTCTGCCACTTATTAGTTGCTTGACACTGGAAAGTCACTAATCTAACTCTATCAAAACTGCCAGTTCCCTGGAACAGTGCCTGGCAGGGGGACATGACAGAAGATGGCTGTTACTAGACAGGTAAATAACATGCTCATGTAGATGACAAGTATCAAAATGTGTCTCGCAGATCACAGGCTGCACAAACACTTCCTGGGAACCTCCCTGCAGACTCTCATGGAGCTCATGGCTTGACCCTCTGATGTGGTCCTGAGCCATGGAATCAATGTCTAACAGGACAGCTGTTCTTTCTAATCTGCTGTCTCTACACATTGTGTGGTTCAAGAAAATAAACTTATTTGAAGACATCAACTCATTATCTCCGAAGAAAGTATTTCAGTATTTCTGATTATTTGTTTATTCCATTTTGCTCACTTTTGGGGAAGAAAAGGGACTCATACAAAATTTCAGGTTTCATTAGACATTTTGTCTGTTACTGAAAATATGCAAAACCAATTTCACAGAAACGTTTTCACAACATAGTCAGCTCTTTTGAACAGCTCCAGAATAATGATCTAGAATATTCAGTGATTATTGAAAGTGTTTCAGTTAAAATTGTTCCTCTTTGGATGAGTTGTATATATGCCAGAACCAAGTCCAGATATCTTGTTCTATAAACAGATATCCATAAAGTATTTGGTTGATTTATTTTGCTGAATGATTGAGCTCCCAGGCTTCATACAGTATCCTGATGCCTGCTACATAAATGCTATTGAAAAAACTGAAGATTGACACATTCCAAGAGTAACAAGTAACAAGTTAGTCAAGTACCTCATCTTGATGGTGTCACTCACCAAACAAGCATAACCTATTGCTGACATAAAAGCAACTTCAGAAGAATAACAGCAACATAACAAAAAAACAAAATCATGTACTAGGAGGATTAAAAAAAGGAATAGTAAAACACCAAAATGTATGTGTCTAATAGGAAGGAGGGGGAAAGAAAGAGAGGGAGAGAGAGAAAACAGGAAGGAGGGAAAAAGGAAAAGAATATCATTGTCAAACCATAACTAACAATTGAACACAGTTTCATAAAATCCTGGTTTCAGCTTCGCCAGTGTTAAATTTCAAATAAACATGCTAGGAGGCTGATGCCTTTAAATTAGATCCCTAGATATGCCTCTGACTGTAACAAGTGACCTTATTCCTTCAGACAGGCGTGCAGGAAGAATGAGAATTGCCCTGCAACAGCTAGTATGTGAAAACCTTATCTTTTCTCTAATCCATACAACAGTCAAACCTGAGAGAAAACTGAAAATCGTATCTCATCACAATAACCTCTGATCATACTTGCTTCACAAAATAATGTGAGGAAAATTAGCTTGCGAGTTTGAGTTCTCAGAAATTCAGTTTTTCATTCCTGACCTAGAGATGACAATCTATACAGATACATTGATTGAATTTCCCACCACTTCTCCATCCTGCGCACTTTTCAATTTAGTTCTAAACTCATTCCTTTCACTTATCTGTGACAGGAAAACACAGAAACGGCATAGATGCTCTCTCATGCATAAACCCAAATAAGCAAATGAAGAAACAGAAAAAGGAAGGTAGCTAAGGTCCTTGCTGGGCTTGCAGGAATAATTTTCTGCAGAGGCTTTTGCCTTGCCCCCTCCCCCAAACTCTTTCTCTGTTCAATTTTCAAGCTTTTTGACTGCTTCTTTCAGTCGGTGCCCAGACAAAGCCCTCTAACTACTCCTCCTAACCTAGAGAAAGAAATTCATTTGCAAAAGAAGGGAAAGAGGAAAAAAGATGGAAAAACCAGGAGGCTGTTTAAACACTATGTTTTCACAAAAGCTGTTCAGAGCAGAACAGTAGGTCTTGCTAACATCGATAAAGAGAGAACCCATTCCTTGGAGTTTCGAGGGGCCATTTTCTTTCTTTAGGGAACTAACACCCTGGATGATGTTGTGAGGCTGGAGTGTGGGATTGAGGAGGAATACACCTTTAAACTGCGAAAGAATTCTTCATCTTGAACTCGACTTAGCACAAACAGAGAAGCTGACATTCTGGATTTCGCTTCACACTGCTTTTCCCTAATGTTACAAGCATTTAAGTCTTAGTGATCCTTCAGAGAAACATAGATGGTATTCCATTTTGTCTTTGTTTTTGTTTTCTAGCTTATCCATATTTACTTACATACACATACAAATGGAGTACAGTACTGTCCAGACCCTCAAGCCCCCTCTGCATTTCTGACTCCTTCCTAGTGGCACCTTATTTAACATACTTGTCTGAATCTACTGGGTGAATTAGACTTTCTAACACCATCCAGATGACAGCTCCCACATGTTGTAGCATAAGAGATGATTATCCTGAAAATAAAGTAGACGAAAGTGTCATTGCATTTTCAATGGAAATTCCATGTGTGCCTTTAATATCCTGACAATAATTAATTATAATGGTATTAGCAATAGAAAAATAAAGACCCTAATGTCACCTATTATTTTAAAACATGGAAAATCAAGGCTCTGACAAAACAAGAAGTCTGGAACATACACATATTTCTGTCTCTTGCAATGAGGAGTTTGTAGAGAATGAATCAGAAAAAGAAACAGAAAATATTCCCATAGTGATTAAAATGGTTCATTAATTATTCACCACACAATCCTTTTCATTTAAGAACCTTTTTTGATAGCAGTTGTGAGTCACGTGCTAGTTATGACAAGGACAGGAAAGAGGTGTTCCAAGTGATACACTCATTGCAGTGTAAAATTTAAGGAGGCACCCAAAGCTCAATGATCAAGATCAATTATATGCAAGATAAGTTTAAAGTAATTAATTTAAAAATCCACACTGAACAAAATATCAACATTTTAAAACAAGACAGGATCTATAAAGGCCAGAACTAGGGTGAAACAAATAGGATAATTTTGTGCAAGTCATAGTGAGACACTATCTTCATTTAAAACACTGGCATTTTGTTCAACATAGATTTGAGGGCACTAATTTTTCTTTGAAAGTGTTTCCTTAAAGGATGTTATTTATCTTGGTTACTGACTTTTTGGTGTTCTCTCCAATTTCTTGCAAACTATCTTCCTTATGATACCCCAATGTGAGGTCCATTCTTAACCACCTGTTGCTGATTCTAAACCCCAGGATCAATGGTAAACATAAATTTCTCCTCTGTATACTATGGTTGGTTGCTGGGAATCCAATATTGAAAAAGGATTTGCATTCTCTGATTTCCTATCTTAACAGCTTTTCTCTGAATTCCTCAAGCCAGCTCAAATGATAAAGGACTATTTCTACAGTTAATCAATTTCTCTGCCAATCATTGAAAAGAAAAGTTCTAGTTTCAGATATAATGTTTCATTATTGCCTGGAAATAAGGGAAATGAAAAAATGGAAACAAAGTTTTTATAAATAGGGACGGGTGAAGGGGGTGAAGGGAGGGCAGGAGTAACAAGAAAAGACAAGAACCAAGATATATCTTGTAAAGGTACAAAATTCCAATGGTAAATGTAACTGTATTGTTTGCTTTAAATGTAACAATAAACTTAATGTTAAAAAATATGCTCATATAATTCATGTGTCTTGAGTTGGGATTCCAAAAATATTTACCATACTCAGAGCTACTATACGAGGCACATGGATGTACATTTCTTGCAACCCAAATCCTCACAAACCGCAACTGTGCTTTCATTCAGACAACCTGTAGTGGTCTGAAACAGAAAGTCGCTGACTGGTGTTCAGTACCATCTGCCTCTGACATCTGAATACCTACAGTTCCCAAGCTTCTTCTCCCAAAGGTTCACAGACTTTTCCTCCAGCCAAATCAAGAACTATGTAAACCCTAACACTAAATAATGTACTAATTTCCAAATATGGCTTTCAGATATATTTCCACTATTATAAGTTAGGTAAAACTGAATTGCAATGGACCTCAGCTTTGATATGTGCAAGACAGAGTTGCTGTCATAAATGAATTTTCAGAAATGTCCTGGTCTATCATTTTGTCATGTGGGGTCTCTCAGGTATTCCAGCTACGGATGAGTGTGTGTTCCCACTGCCTTCTTGCAAGAACTTTATATACTTTAAGAAATTTTATACATCTCTGACTAATCATAGCAAAAGCATCATATATACGATGCAAACTGTGGATATTATGTTAAAATATGGATTTGGCTTAGCAAGTTAAGACTTCAGTTTTTAAAATCGCCCTTACATCACCAAAATTCCAAGAGCTGCATAAGTATTTTGATCCAGACTCATATTGCTTTTCAGTGTTCTTGTACCAATTTCAGGACGAGAAACATTCCTGACAAACATACCTTTGCTGAATGTAGCCCTGGCATTTTCTTCTTTTTTCTGATAGATTTTGCTGATACTTCCATAGTAATAGAAACTATTTTTGGAATTCCTCCATTTTCAAGTACTTGTGTTCCTGTGATTCTGCAAAGGTTAAGTGAAACTTCAAAATTAAAGTCTCTTAATTTTACATGGTTTAATTTGAAACTTCATCTTTGGTAAATCATGTTGTTAAAAATCGATACCATCAGGGTGTGCACTAGCATACATTTGGTACCTGAAACAATTTAAATGTAAGCTTTTGTAGACAGGAAAGAAATCTTCTCAAGTGCTGAGTTATTGCTGGCATACATATAATAGAAACATAACATAAGGGCTTTATTATTTGTCTCAGGAGAAAGCATTTTCTTTTTTCTCCCAAGATATATAATGCTATATTAGTCCTTAGATTGGTGGTTAGTGGAGTACAATTTTTCTAGACATACACCTTTGGAAATGAAATATATAGACTCTAAGAGTCAACTCCAAAGCAGTGACTCTAGCAATGTAGAGTTTTTCTCAGAGCATGGAAGTCCCCCACCTTATCCACACAGGATTTGTTCCAAGACCCCCTTTGGATGCCTGAAGCAGCTGACTGTATTGAAAACGACATAAACTATATTTTTTTTCCAATACGCCTAGCAGCATTGTCAGAACAGAGTTAATCTGCTCTTCCATGTTTCGGACCTTGGTGGCTCCTCCTCCTCGTTACTATTGCACTTTAGGGCCTTTATTAAGTAAAATAAAGATTACCACAATATAAGCACTGGGATGCTTGTGACAGTCAATGATAATCCAAGCAGCTAGTGCGTAACTAACAAGAGGGTAGTACATACAGGATGGATATTTTAACCAAGGGAAGAGTTCCATCCTAGATGTCATAAGATTATATCATGCTATGGAACACAGGGGCATATGTTACAACTTATAAATTATTTATTTCTGGAATTTTCCATTTAATATTTTAGACCAAAATTAATCTCAGGTAAATGAAATCATGGATGAAAAGGCACTACCATATAGTAGTGTATGTTCACATACCTTTTAATTACTTCACCTTTCACCACCTCTGTGAGAGAAAGATGGCCAAATTGTAGAGAAATATCACTTAGGCAGGCATCAGAAAATCACTACATTGCTAAAGAAAGCTTAACCTCTCTTACACATGGGTTATGTAGCTGTGCGCAGAGAAAAACAAATGTACATGTATACAAACTTCTAAATGTGCTTTTCTTGAGTGTGCTTATAAGAAGTCTTTTTAAAATATCATTTTAACTGATAAAACAAAACAGTACCTTTTAATGGGAAAACATCATTTTGAATGCATGTATCTACTATATAATGTTTAAATGAGGTTAAACTACCTACCTTCTCAAACATCGTTGCTTTACGGTGAAAATATGCAACTTCTCTTCTTCAAGATTTAAAAACGTTAATACGTTATTATTATCTATGGTCAACCTATAGTGGCAGCATAGTACACCAGAACTTCTTGCTTCTGTCTAATTATAATTTAGTACCCACTGATCAATATTTACCCATCCTTCCTTTTTACTCTCCTTGGTAACCATTCTAATCTCAATATTTTTGAGATAGAATATTTTTATATTCCATATACGAGTGAGATGAGGTGGTACTTTTTTTTGTTTTTGCACCTAGCTTATTTCACTTCACTTAATGATCTCTAGTTCCACCTATGTCATTGTAAATGACAAGATTTCATTCATTGTTATGGCTGAGTAACATTCTATTATGTTTATATACCACATTTTCTTTATCCATTGCTCAGTTAAAGGACACTTATTTCCATTCCTCAGCTATTGCGAACAGTGCTATAATAAAAACTAGAGTGAAGATGTCTCTTTGACATATTAATATCATTTTCTTTCAATATATGCCCAGGATTCAGATTGCTAGTCCTATAGTATTTCTATTTTTATGTTTTTGGCAAATGCCATACTATAAACTCTTTTTATTGAAGAATGTCTTTGCTGGCCCATCACAGTCAAAAGTTAAGCTGACAATCTATGAAATCTATCATTGAATGCTAGGAACTTCAAGACTTATTTATTTATTACTTGGAATTTAATTTTCAAAAAGCTTTCCCAAAGAGTAAACATCACTTAAGCTGTTTTATTCTCTGTGTCTCTAAATAGTGAAAGGATATTCAGTTAGCAAATGCCATCCTAACTGCTTGGAAAAGGTCTCAACTTTGTCTTTATTGCCTGAAACCTGTATGGAGTCGCAAATTTCCACTTCATAGAGTGGTATTACTGATTGAAGATATACAGAATGTTCCTGTGCCTTCTTTCCCTTAACACTTACTTCAGTGGAAAGAGAAAAAGTCTCCTAAGAAAAGGTTCACTTTTTTAAGTATAGTATTTTGACTACAAAATAGAAACTATGCTATTAAAAGGTAATAATGATTTTAAAAATATTAAAACAATGAGTGACATATTTACCACCAGAACTGTCTCTCTTAGAGAGTTCTACTGAAGTTTCTGGACTATTTTAATATGAGACTAAAGACCAATAATCTTTCCAAAGTATAGGAATATAATGTGATTAGACAGCTTCTCACTTGAGAAAGGAAATTTCAAGATGAAAAATACTCCCTATACTTCCTGTTATTCTTCTTTTTTTTTTTTTTGGACTGTGGATTGAACTCGAGACTTTGTTCTTGCAATACAGGCAGCAGAACCACTGAGCTCTATCCCAGACCCACTTTCTGCTATTATTATGTCATCGCTTCTTAGGATCTATATTAAATATTAATATGATTTACTCAGATAAGAAAAGTGAATGTGATTTGGAAGTCAATATGTACTATGAGATTTGGTTCAAAGGAGTATATCCACACCTATATTACTACCCTTAGAATGAGTATAATAATATTTACCTTAGCATTACTGTAAGTAGAAGATAGCAAGTATTAAGTACAAGTAGTGATCATCTCTTTATTTGTCAAAGCAGCAGAGTTTTCAGGTTGGTTTAACTTTGTTCTCTTCTCCTCTCAATTTTTAATTACAACATTTAAAGTCAGAAAGAAATGCTGAAAAGACAAACATGAAAAATTTTCAATGGGAAAGACTTCAATTCTTTGTAAAAAAAAATCATCATTAAATTAATAAATTGTATTCTTCCTGACAAAGTTTATGTCAAGAAATCACTTGGTTTTACATTAAAAAGCACTTTTGTCACATATAGTTAATTGTTCACAGTATGGTGGAAAAGTGCTTTTTATTCCGTTCCAGTCTCCACTAGAAATAAGATGTTTGAAATGCAGTCCCAATTTCTCCTGTACTATGAAAACTGTGCTTTGATGCACACCAAAGTTTCTGGTATTTGCACCATGCCTTTGCCACTCCTTAGGACTTCAAAAACGATTCAGTTCTTAAGGTATTCACTTTTTAATTAAAGTTGTGAGCAATCTAGAATTTTATTCAATTCAGAATTGCCACGAGGCTCAAAGGTCACAGTCAGAATATTAGGACTCAAATGATAATTTAATGTATCTTCTTTATTCATCTTCCTGTTTCATTGCCTTCACTTCCTTTAGCCAAATCAAATTTCTGGAGAGTTTATATTTCATCTAGATTGTTCAAAATCATTATATGAATTTAAAATATGTCCCTAGCTCCTCCTGTAAGATAAAAGCACAGTCTCATCAAGTTATTTTTCACTGTATGCATAATGGCCTTAGGTTTGGCTTTGTGCCTGAGAGTTAGAGTGCAGAGCTTCCACCTTGAGTAGGTCCCACTTTTCTAAAGTTCTCTAAAAGTTCCAACAATAGCCAGAAAACTAACATGATCTGAGAACCCTTGAAAATACATATACTCTTTTTTTTTTTCTAATTAACTTTAGTGCTACATTTTAGGTATTCATTATGATTATATTCATCATTGGGAATTTGTACCTGTACATGATATATCTTAGTTCTTGTTTTTCCCATCCCATATGCTCTTTTGAAAGGCAAAGTCTCTCTGTTTAAAAATGAAACAGACGAAAGTACAGCCAATACTAACCCCATAAGCAAAATAATCCATGCGTCTGTGTCTGGAGAATTTCAAACTTCTGAGATACTTAGTGTTCTCACATGGTTGAGATTAATGTCTGATTGTTTTGACTGGCTCCTCCCATCCCCATGGGTGGAAGTGGCTTGGAAACATATTGGATGAGAAATTTCCCACCGTATCGTAGTTACCAAGCCAGCTGTGTGCAAAGTCACTTGTACACTGACAAAGTTGAAATATGACAGGTTTCCGATAGGCTTAACTGTTGTGCCTATCTTCTGAGAGCTGGAATCTGGGCCAGATTACAGATAATATGGGAAGTTTGTTGGACAGTGAATCAGGATGCTCCTGTGCATGGTGAAGAATTGTTAGCTCTGAGGCCCAGCAGTTCCAGGTCTGTGTTAGTACAAACATAAACCCCTGACCACTGCTGTATATCAGAACACACACAGCAATAACAATTCAAAGCTTAGAGAATTCCTGGTGTGAGTTTCTATTTAATTTAATTTTCTAGTTGACTAGGAATTAAACAAATAAAAAACCCAATGTTTTAAAAAAAACTCAAACCTTAGGAAAGAGGAAAGAAGGTAACATTTATGTTATTAGATTTTTAAAGTATTATTTATCTATCCTACAATGAGGTATTCATTAATTTATTTTTTTATAAAGAGAAACAGACTCAAAAGCTAAAGCACATTGGTCCAAACCACAAAGTGAACATGTGGAAAATGTAATATTAAAACTCAAGTCAGTGTGCCTCCAAAAGACCATGTCTATCTCACATTTTTACATGAAATTCTATTTATTTCTATGCGTACATTTAAAATAACATTTGAATTTTTATTAAATAATGTTTTGAGCATATATTAAGTGCTCCTCTCTGGGCTGTGAAAGGGAGAAAGGTAAATTCTACATAATACCTTCAAGAAGTTTTCAGCAAAATGATTACTACTTAGTAATAAACATTTAAAATGCAGAGTGTTTATTTCCATGGAATAGTCATTTCCATAGTACCACTGGAATGAGATAGCAAGAGCTACTACCTATAGTATGGTGGGAAGATGTCTTCAAAACAAGTTTGTTCTGTGTATTAAACATAGGAAGAACAAAAGGGGCATATGCAGCACTGATGGAAAGTGAGCCCAGAATGGCAGGGACAGAGCCACAAAATGTATGCAGTGTTAGTCCTGCCTTGTACTTTGTGGATGACTCACCCTGAGTAAGAGGGAAAGACATCAGATTTGTATTTCAAAACAACCTCTTCAAAATGGAGAGGGTGATCTAAAGTGACTTAGGAAAGAGACACCAAAAATATTAGTGAAGTGTCCCAAGTCTGACAGCGGGGAAGGCTTCTAGTTTAAATGAGGACTTTTCACATTTTCAGTCATTTCTAGGAGCCTCAGTTATCTTTGGGAAATGCCACAGCTGCAGAAGATGAATGCTTCTGTGAAGATTGAATTCCATTGTTTCCGTGCAAACTCTAAAAGCTAAAACTTTTTGAAAATCAACTATTCATTTGGGCATCTAATATTTTCTGTTCTGATAAATGAAAAATACAGACAACCTATGTGTTTTCATGAGTGAAGTTTTTACCAAACATTTTATTTGCCCTAATGCTATCAGCCAATTCCCTATAAAAATGGGTCTTATTCACTATCTGCAGAAGTCCCTAACAGGGGAAGGGTGGGTAGCTACAACACTATTTCTGATAAGAAATCCAAAAGCTTTTGCAGCCACTTGGTATTGTTTTAAAGATGTTTTTTATTTAAGTCATGTGTACCTGTACTATACCATAACAGCAAATTAGACCATAAGAAATAGTATCTTAAGAGCATACAAAAGTATAAGTATATTATAAAATAGTGGTGAAGAGAAAAAAGCCAGACAATAAAAAATAGCAAAGCAATCTAAAATTAAGCTTAATGGAGAATCTCTGAAAATGTGTTAAGTTGAGAATTCCAGAATTATTTAAAGCATTTAAGGGGTGTGAAGGAAACTGATACTTATTAAACACCCACAGTCTATCAGAGAGAACTAGTAATGAGGTATGAATAATCTTCCATTTTTTTCTAAAGAAAAAACAAGGCTTATTGAGGTAAGTTAAATATAGATTTGAATGAATGAGTATTGGAGTTTTTCCAAACGCGTGAATAGACTTTCTCAATAAGCACTAAAACCAGCTGGTAATACTGAATTTGGCAATGTTTATTTTCTTTGGGACTGCCTATTCACATCTATTAGCCACATCTTGAAACTTAGAACCACGTTACCTCCCCTTTAGAGGTCAAAAGTGAGAGATGGCACATGACCTGAAAGCCACCACTTGCCACTGTCTGACAGTGGGGGCCTTCGAAGACAGAGACAAGTAAGGAGATCTCTCAAATTCAAAAAGAAGAGGAAGGAAAGGTGATTTTAAAAAGAACTGAATGTGAATAGAACTTTGCAAATGGGAAGAAGACCAAGAGGTGGAACATGGAGCACAGAGGGATGAGATGGTAGGAGATGAGAAAGGAATTAAGATGTGATGTTAGGGAAGAACTGGTAAATGACACACAGAAAAACAAGAGTGGGTAAAACAAATAAACAAACAAAATTTACTTCGCTAGCTCAGGGTCAGCCTGCACCAAGGGCTGTGCCAAATGACGGACCCTGGTCTGGGTTACAATCTGCCTTTTACAGGAGTTTTATAATCATGACCTCATTTTAGTAGTTCAATAAGACATTCCAGTTATCTCAGTTCCCATCACAAATATCGGTCTCAAGATAGTTCAGTTTTAACCCAAATGTAGCACCTTCTTCGTGGTTAAGATGTTTAACTTTAGGATTTGCCTAATTAGCTATTCTAGCCCCCAAGAGTGGGAGTCAGGGCTAGGAAAACAGGACTGGTGACATTCCTTCCATCTTAACTCTTTTATAGTCATACAATTTACAGAAAGTTTAGGGTTTAGGGTCTAAGTGTACCTTGCTTGTGAGGTATGGCAATTGTTATCTTAGTTTGAACACCTGGTATCTCCCTGGGGATGCGGCTACGCACCTCCGGCATGTGTTAATCTTATAACATTTTAAACTGGGACTATGTGTCTTTAAGCTCTGTAGTTAATAATAAAACTTCTGGTGTTGTCCTAGGAAACAAGCAAAGCAAAGTAAATTACAGAAGTGAAAGACAGCAGGTATTCTGTATTTCCATAACATTTTGTAGGTTTCAGCCTATTTACAGAAGTTCTATCAGTGATATGTATATGTACCAAATCATCGCAATAAATATAATCTTTATGACTGTTAATATTTATTAATAAAAACTATTATCCTGACATGTAAAGGTTCAAGATCCCAATGATGAATGTAACCGTACTGTATACCTAAAAAGTACCAATAAACTCAATGATAAAAAAATAAAAACTGTTATCCTGAAAGACTATATGTTTCAAAATTATATAAAGAAAATTATACACACATAAAAATCATATATGTACATATAGTACTTATTATTTACCTATTTCAAAAAATGTAACACAAGTTGAAAAAATAAAGTTCTGCTTTTTGCTAGGAAAAAAAAAAAAGACCAAAATATTATGCCATTCTCTGAGGCAATGTCCAGTGCTCTAAATTAGTATCCCACCTCCCTGTACCATCTCACTGCCAGCACCAATAGGATTATTCTGCTTCAAGAGTCAGAGGTACAAGCATACCACTCTAGCCCACGTGCCAGGGAAATGCCACTAATTTTTGGAAGAGGTCACCTGCTACTTAGAATTCCAATAAGCTTTCAAAATGGAAGAGGGAAGACTGAGTATGTACTTTTCTGCTAGATTATCAGTCCCATTTTAGTATAGAATGAGGTGAAATGGAAATGGAAGTGAAGACACAGATACCTTCCCTACATCACAAAGCACACTTGGACATGAGTCTTCAAGAGGACACTTAACCGAGCATTCCTTGGTAGTCTGAGCATTGTGCTCAGTTTTGAGGATTAAAAAAAAAAAAAAAAAAAAAAAAAAAAAAAAAAAAAACTCAAGGCCTAGCAAGCAGAGGCTACATT